GCATCGCCGTCATGATGTGGGGGGGGGAGTCCGTGGGGGGTAGCCCAGCGGGGGGGGGGGCATAACCTTCGGTGGCCTGTGGAAGTGATGAGGCAGCTCAATCATTTCCAGTGTAAAGAGGACAGTTGGCTTTAAACATGTATTCAAAAATTCTCTTCTGCTATAGCAACCGGCAGTCTGCTTACAGGGCCCTGAGGTATGTGGCGGCAGCAGCGAAAGGGTTAAAGGAAGATGAACTCCTCGATACCAGAGGTGTGCAAACTCCGGCCCTACAGCTGTGGTGCAACTACAAATCCCATCATGCATCTGTGGCTCTGGGAGTCATGCCTGTGGCTGTGAGAATCTTGCAATGCCTCGTGGGATTTGTAGTTCCACTACATCTGGCAGTCCAGAGATTGCCCACCCCTGCTCTATACGGTACCATCACTTCTAATCTACGGGGACCCCTTGACTGCAATGTATAATTTACTATAGAGGTGAACTGACTCTGTACACAATATGCAGAAACCCAGAAGAGAAAATCAGGCTGACGTGTAAAGTAAAGTATATCTAAGACCAGGACTTCTATTTCATTATGTATAGAGGAGTAGGGAAGGGTTAAAACCACTGCCAGGTTTTCTTGCCACCTGTGCCTCATTAAGGAGATTTCCCTTCACTTCCTGTCATGTTGACAATAACAGGAAGTGACAGCAAACTTTTCCAAAATAAAATTTCCTCTTGGTTGTCAAGGTAAGAAGTTTCCCCTTGATTTTCCTTTCTGGTGACAACTCCCAATTTGTAAATTTTGCTCGCTTCCAGTTCACCAGGACAAATACAGGGCAGGGACACAAGACAGGAAATACTCATTTAGTGTACACTTTAGTCTAAACTTAATAAACAGCTTTGCCTTTCTATTCCCAAACAGTGTGACATTGCTCTGACATTCCAGCTGGTGTGTAGGGAGGTGATGGAAATAAATGTAGAGAAGAATTACATTTAAAGTTGAGCAATTGTTGATATGTATATGAACCGATCTGTCCTTACTTTTATTTGTATCTAACAATATATAAATAGATGAAGCTATATGGCAGTATTACAAGGATCAACCACAAAAACTGCCCCCCGCACCCCAAATGACAGCAGATAAGCCATTGGTTGCAGAAATCTGCACAATTTCTGCTTTTCTGAACTGCAAGTCCCAGCATGCCCCATAGGTTCAAGGGCTCGCAAGGCATGCTGGGACTTGTAGGACGTACACGCCTTTGCTTCTCACCGTGGGATAAATTTCCGGCTTCGCTCTTACAATACCCGCACCGGTTCCCTTCCTCTCCGCCGAAGTACTCCAGGATACTCAGGGCACCCCCGCCGGCAGACGCCATCTTACTCCCTGCCCTGGCCGTCAGCGGAGCCGGTAAACGCATGCGCCCTCCTGCTCATTGCTGAACTTCGGGCGGCCATCTTTACTTGGGGGAGACGATTTCCCAAGAAGGCGCAGGAGTCTGCGAACGCCATATTAAGTGAGGGCAGACTGGTGGCCTGTTATAAGGCGACCCCGGCTGGGTATGCTGTTGCGCTTAGGTTTACTGACAGCAATGCATACACTTACCGTGAGATCTTTTGCCGTGTGGGGAGCGGCAGTAGCCGCACCACGCCTCATTTCTGAGTCCTTTGTACTCCAGTATAGAATACATGCTTGCAGCAGCATTTACTAATTGCTTCAAAATGAACCTGGGCGTAAACAAGGCGTCCACCGGGAGCACAATTCCTTACATGACAGGGAGCGCTCTACTGCCCCCCAGCCAATGCTGCGGCGCCCGCGGGTACTGCAGGTGGTTACTGGTATACCGTTAAAGGGAACTCCCTTGAAGCAACGTAACATTCATAATCTGGGGCTGCAGGAAGTAAAGAGTGATAAGAGCCCTTGCAGACCTATGCCTAGAGATAAGGGTTTTACCATGTGTTACCGCAACGCAAACGTATCGAAGGTGCTAACAGGCCCACACTGTTAGAGGAAAAACTCCGGGAATTAAAAGACTTACCATTGAAATGGGGCTACCACCACACTGCACGGGTTAAGTGCTTGTTTTGTCTAGGGGGCTCAAATAAATCAGAATTAAGCGCCTGAACCTTGGACCCATGGCAGTCAGCACTCTCTCCCCTCCCTCTGCACCTGCTTTAATTTGTTGCTCATTGTCCTCATCCCTAAAGCAAGTCAACTGACCTGCACAAGATGTGATGACGTCAGTGTTCCTTAGACCATTGGAGCCCATACTCACCTGATCTGCGGTCCTGCTGGGCTGTTAGACTGGTCCCTGCAGCCTCTTCGTCCCTGGGCTCCAGTAGTCTAACAGCCCAGCAGGACCACTGATCAGGTGAGTATATTTTCTTTATTTGAGCCCTCCAGACACGAGCGCTTAACCCTTTCAGCACAGAGTTCTTCCTCAACAAAATGCTGCAGGTGCTGTTTTTGGCTTAGAAACCTTCCTAGGTAGCTCATTCAAAATTATTTAACTGTGCCAAACCAGAATTATACTCACCTTCCCTCTAGGCATGCAACAACTGTGAGAACCAATATCTTCTCCTGGTCTTCGTGCTTGGGACCCTCAGCTTTTTTGATTTGGCCATGCTGGGATGACAAAACACATGCCCTAAAGTTCATTCATCCTGGCAGATGCCGAAATTCTACACTGTGAATGTATAGCTCAGTGTTCATCACCAAGACTGCAAACAAGCATGCAAGAATCCTTTATTAATGAACCCCAATAGGACAGAAATATATGAACTACAAGTGCTGACCAACAATGGACAAACTATACACATCCATTCACACTGCAAGCAGCAGTTTCCCCCTTTGGAGTACCCGCCTTGGATTCCTTAGTTACTTGATTGATTTACTAAGAGAGCATAGATGGTTTACTAATCTTATATTGCAGGCTGCAAGTTTTGAACTGTGGCGATACAGAAGGATCTTTCAAAATCAGCTGGGTAGACATGGCCACCAATGAAGATGTGCTGCAAAGAGTCAATGAAGCAAAATCATGTCTGTTGGAGGGAATATGGAATTGAAAATGCCAATTTGTTGGCCACATGCCAGGAAACTTGGCTGGAGAGGAGCTATGCAAGATTGTGGGAGAACAAGATAAAGGGGAAAGAAGAACAAGGTGGATGGATGACATCCACAAAATGACAGGCAAAGGGGAAAGAAGAACAAGGTGGATGGATGACATCCAGAAAATGACAGGCAGCAGAACATTAACCTGGCAAAAAAAATAAGGCCAAACGGAATGCAATGAAGGAAGAAAGGTTCCAAGTGTGAGGCTAGGTTCAGATCTGAACGATCCCAGGACGCGCGATCATGTGCATGCACGGCCCTATTGATTTCAATAGAGCTACATTCGCGCGCCAATACCTTTATTTTGCCACACACTACGTGCGCCTTTTTTTTTTTTTTTAGCTGCAATCATGTTCGCCAGGGCAATCGGCTGTGCTGGGCGACTCGAATGCCCGCTTGGCTATCCGTGCGGTTTCATGCACAATTGCAGCGAGGTCACGGATCGCACAGGTGTGAACTAAAAAGGTGCCCATACACCTGCTGATTATCGTACGATAATTGCGGGTTATCCCGCGATCATACGATAAATCGGCAGGTGTATGGAAGGCGTGCGACCGTTTCTACTGTACGGTCGCACGTCTTTTGTCTTCCGAGCAGGCTTGAAAATCGTAAGATTTTCGGCGGTTTAGTGGCGTGCTCGGAAGATAAATGCCGAACGGGCCGGTTTGCGCAAGCGCACACTGCCTGCTTAGTATTGGAATCATCGGAAGCCCTCCCCTCAACGCAAGTACGATCTGCTTGTCCAAGATGGGCAGATCGTACAAGATTTTAATTAACTTACAACCATCACATAACTAAAGTTGTGTGATGGTTGTAAGGTGTATGGGCACCTTTAGCCTGTAGTTCACCCAAGGCCACAAGTGGTCATGGTAGAGGTAACGGTAAGGCCTTCTTTTGTTGATATTTTTTTGCAAAAATTATTGTTTTCTTCTATAAGTCAGAAAAAGGAACAAAACCTTTTCTAAAAAACAAAAGCACAATTTATAATTTTTATTTGCAATGCATTGTATCAGGAACATAATAAATGCTAAGTTTTTTACAAAAGGAAATAAAGGCTTTCTTTTCAATTTTTCTTTTTATTTATAATGTTGCACTTTTTTAATGCAACACTAAAGAGTAAAAATGTAACAAAATAGATCATGTATAAAAATTTAAATATTAATATTTAGAAAAATAGAGATAAAAAAAAATCAGCAGGAAAATAATAATAGGGGAAGAAGGTGCAATTAATTAGGTCTGATCAGGGTAAAACTGTTACTTTGTATCTCTCCTCTAAACAGTGTTTATAAACCATGTCAAACGGTCTGTTTTTTTTACAGCAGAAGCTATTACACCGCTGTATTTACACAACACCTCCCGGCTGTCATTTTGACAGTCAGGAATTGCCAGAAAGTGCAAGGTGGGAGTGGCAGCTCAGGGCGTACTACACACACCCCGTGTACTTCGATAGTTATTTTTTGAGGTGTGTATAGTACTCCCAATGTCCACAACTGGCTAATGAAACCCACTTTTCAGAAATCCCCTCAAAATGTAGGAATGGCCTTTTTACATTGCTCTGTGAGCCATCAGTTATGCAAGTCAAATTAAAATCAGAGGGGCAACACATGAGGATTTTATGGCTAAATAATCAGCAGTAACAAACCTTAGCCAACACACTAGGTGAGAATTATTTCTTAGGAAATAAGTTATTCGTAGTTACGTTCAATAAAAATGATAATTTACAGTCACATGGCTGAAATTAGTGATTCTAACCATGTGAAGTATACCTACTGTATGGTATCTTATCTTAGGCTGGAGGCTCACTCCATTTTAAAATGGTTGACATATGAAGTGATGATACTTGAATACAATTTGAAAAAATAATGTTGGTCTTATGTGCTGTGGAATTTTTGGATAAACCTTTCAGGCATATAGCCTACACGACTGGATATTATGCTAACCCACTGCCTTCAATACTTCAAGTCTCTATAGCTCGCCATACAGCTATAGATCTGCAGATTTTCTATGGTTGGATAGAGAAAGTGCTACAGATTCCTCCATCAACGCTAAACTGTGTGGATGGAGGAATCTCCCACTGGGCCAAGCTTCAGTATCTTGCTAGTCGGCCCCGCTGGCTCTCATAACACCTGAACAATCTGATTGGATGCAGGCATTGTTCTGGTGTTTTGACAGCCAGCGGGGCTGGATACTGATACTGAAGCTTGGCCCAGTGGGAGATTCCTCCATCCACATATTAATGTAGATGGAGGAATCTGTTGCACTTTTTCTATCCAACCATAGAAAATCTATAGGTGTATGGCCAGCTTAAGACAAGTATACTGAATCAAGAAAGTCAGAAGTCCTTATCTGCATCTTTGTTCTGGGCAAAATGGCAAATATGGAAGAATGAGAACTAGCATGATAGCCTGTGGACTAGTATTTCTTTATAAAAAGGAGAACATAGCAAACGCAGCTGCTCCCATAAAGGGTTGCCTTTAGGAACACCGTTACATGAGAAGCCACACATCACCACTTATGGGTCGCGGTCCTTGTCTGGACACTGGATGAATATGGTTACCCAACAACTCAGTACTGAAAACTGCCATGTATTTGGACATAATCCAAGCTTTAAAACATATGTACAAAATATATACAGAAAATACCTTGCAAACATAACAATTTACAAATATAAACCTTTTGAGTGATTGACAATACAATAGTTTTTTCCCAATCAAAAAAAATTTGTAGGAGATAAAAACATTCGTCATTTTTAAATTTTTGTAGTTACAGAAAAAGAAAACAACAAGAAATACAAAGTAAAACTAAACAACGTGGCTTGCAGTATCAGAGCGGTCGTCTTTGGTCTCACAGAATACAAAATCCTCAAACACAACCAGGAAATATAAGCATGTCAGCATAACACGTAGTTACATAAAGAAGAATGTCACTTTCATGAATAAAGTGAAAAATGCAAGCAATAAAATAATTGTATAAATGTCTATAAAAGATCCATGGTCCGGGTTCTCATTTGTTTACCAATCATGCTTAGTAACTGTAAGGCTTCATTCACATCTAATGTTAAGTTGTATCTTGAGACTCCTGCGGCAGAAAATACAAGTTAATGATCAGGTGACAGCAGCCCCATTTGAAAGTGGCATTTCATCAGCGCTCCGCATGTAATCTTATGTGATGCGATTACATGCAGTTAGGAATAGATCACTGTCCCTGGACGCAACGATCATGCGTCCAGGAACAGGGTTTTATCCCTAACTGCATATAATTAATTACATGTGGCATGCCGGCGGACTGCCACCTACAAATGTGGCCTCTTTCACTCAAACATTAACTTGACCGGGTGATAGCGATTGCTTTTAAACAGCATATCTGGGATTCCTACTACAGGAATGTATAGGTTCTTGCCGCAGGAATCTCAAAACACATCTTAACATTAGGTGTGAATGAGGCCTAACAGATAGGAAGTGTAGGGGAACAGATCATTGACGATACCATCTTTAAAGAAGAAGTAATAAATCCTTCCATGGTCAAGCAGCATTGGCATCACTGACATAGACTGGACTCTTCTGATAGCAGCTCTCCTAGCTGAAACAAAACAAATCAATGTTATATGCTGCGGTACACAATAAAGACACAAAATATTTACTGAAATGCATATTAAAAAGTGAAATAATAAAAAAATAGATGAGTAGAAACATAGATTTCCAGTACAACTATCGCCATTATAATGTAGCAATATGTATTATGTTGGTTGAGCTTATTTGGGAACAGTCTTGGGCCCCTTTCACACAGGCTGATCAGGATGGAATCCGTGCATGATCACTGATGTGACTCCAGGGAATTTTTTTTTTTTTTTTACTAACCCATGCAGTGGACCTACCCCCCTGCACTGCAAGGGTTAAATGCCTATTTTGGTCTTGGGCTGAAAATAACAAAGTTATACTCACCTGATCCTCCCTGTCGGCTTGCTCCTACACCGGTACTTGGAGCCTCTCTCCCCCTCTGCTGCAGCGGTCTAAGGTCACTTACTCATCACGTTCTATACACAGTGTATAGGACGCAAGGATGCAAAGAAACATCCCATTGCTGCAGCGGAGGAGACAGGCTGGGAAGAAATGCTGTCATAGCCAGCTGGCTCGGAGGTTTGGGTGAGTAAGCCTTTATTATTTTCAGCCCTAGACCAAAACAAGCCATCAAACCCTTGCAGTGGTCCCCCAAAATCTGAAAACAATTAATGATCCCAATACAAAAACAAATACTTACACAGTCAAAGCAGTTTATGTTGCATTTGTGCTGGGTGGGATCATGGGTTCTGTAATTTCAAAGGTTTCTATTATTTCCTAGGAAACAAAAAAAACAAACATAATTTACCAAAGTCATGTTAATTAACCAACAACATATACACTGAATGTGGCATCTCAGGCTGATCTGTAAAAAAGTGCTGTGTAAGAGCATGGTCTACGCAGCAGGAGAACTTCAGTGGCCCATAAAGCGGAAATTCAGCAGACTTCCCTTCGCTTTCCATCCAAGTGACAATGGGCATCAGGACAAGAAGCAGAGGGTGGAACTTCCTTAAAAAGGGACTAACACAGCAATGAAAACCTGAAAAATGTTCAAGCCGTTCTCTGCTCTATCAAAAGCGATAACAATTATCTAGCTGGAGATTGTATACATATTACCGTGTTTCCCCCGAAAATAAGACACTGTCTTCTAATTTTTTGGGCTCAAAAAACACACTAGGTCTTATTTTTTTTTTTAATGTACAACAATCCGCACTTATTCATGCACAAAAATATGGTGATCAGGGGTGCCGTACCTTTCCAAGAGCAATTTGCTAACCAATCGCTGGCCAGAATGAGCGAAGCGCACTTTCACTATCGATTCCTCACAGGCGGAATGCAATTGGTATCACTCCGCCTGCGATAGGAGCTATAGCTATAGGCGCTATAGAGGAGGCATCGGCTTATGCCGCCTCGATTCCTCTAGCGCCGGCTACGTTGGCACCGCTGATTCTCTCCTGCGGCTCTTCAAGTTCCCCCTTATGCCACCACCGGCCCTAGGAATGGTCACAACTAGGTCTTATTTTCAACAATTCCCAAAAATTGTGCTAGGTCTTATTTTCGGGGAAACAGGGTATATTACAAGGTTGGTTTTCTGCAGCACACTCACCAAATGGTGACCCCAATATTAATGGGCAATAACTGGAAAAACAAAACCCAGAATGAACAGAGTCTCAGTTTTCTAACCTTTCCTAGAAAACCAAAGCCTTGAATCTGACCAGTTGTAAAAGTCCTAACAACAAAATACCGTATTTTACGGTCCATAAGACGCACCGGACCATAGGACGCAGGGAGGTCCGGCGCGCCTTATGGAGCACTCGAGACTGTAGCTTCTGTCACAGCTTCTATGACAGAAGCTGTGACAGAAGCTGCAGTTAGTGACCGCTGAGACAGGTGGCGCTGTGATTACAGCGCCACGGTCTCAGTGATGACACAGAGCAGGCGAAGAACGTCTATTCTTCGTCTGCTCTATGGTTATCTCGATCGTCGCCGCTGCTCGGTTTTAATACGAGTGATCTCATTAGATCACTCGTATTAAACGAGCAGTGGCTCCTGCTGCTGAACTCGATCGCCGCCGCCGCTGCTCGGCTTTAATACGAGTGATCTCGTTAGATCACTCGTATTAAACGAGCAGTGGCTCCTACTACTCGCCCGGCGCCCGGAACTGCATGTCTCGGGCGTCGGGATTCGCTCCATAAGACGCAGGCACTTTTTCCCCCTCCTTTTGGGGGGAAAAAAGTGTGTCTTATGGAGCGAAAAATACGGTACTCTTTTTTTTCTCCCTTTTGGTCTTTTAACTATAGCATCGGAAAAGTTTCTTTACGTCTGTTTAATAGCAGCAAAAGAAATGATCGTGTCAAAAATTCAGAGCTGCCCTGTGCACACTTCCTGTGTTATCTCAAATAGTCCCCCCAGTTCTTAGTCAGCAGAGGTGTCCCTTGCACAGCATACAGCAGTTGGGACCTTTTAATGCTATGGAATAGCAATGGTGCTCACAGTGATGTCAGCGGATGGCGCCGTGCAAAATAAGAGACTATAGTAATGAAGATCACCAGCACATGTGACATTATTCTACAATAAAAAGAACATCTGGATTTCTTCCATTTGTGAGTGCTGGTGATCTTCATTACTATCCTCCCAGTTCTTATCTTGCACTACAGAACAATCAGTCCTTATGCTGTGGAGAGGAGGAGAATGGGTGGGATTCAGTAGTTGAACAACCGTCAAGTCTTGCAATGTCAGTCCACAAAAAGAAATTGTGGCGATATTCCACAAGAGGAAATTAGGGGCTACGTGCATTTCTGGCAGAACAGGTATCTTTCTGCACTGACAAGGTCTTTAAAACGATAAAGCATGGGCAAATGTGCATGTATTGCACATGTGCATGTATTGCAGAGATCTACTACTTTTTATTTTGTCCCGACATACACTTTACTTACTTCCTATTTTCAGAACGGAGACACACGATTACAGCATTTCCCAATTTCCAGAACATATCATATATTGCTTTTAGAAAGGACCTCTTGCACAGTACACTTACACACAGCGCAATCAATAAGTCTGGATGCATCTGCTGAAACCAAATAGAGTACCAGGCAGCACTCCTGATTAAACCTGCAACAATGCTTTTCTATCCCTATTCCATCTAGATGTCCTTGTCCGCTCTTCCTCTTTCCTGTTTTCATCTGTCCCTCCAGCGGTGCGGCGGCTCTTCGATCCAGCGCAGACTCCTCTCTGCTTGCAGGCACTTCCGATCCAGCAGTGTCTGCATGCGGGCGCAGCGTCATTGACTTACCTTGCGTCGGCTCATCTCCTGGCCGCCCGGGCAGTTTCGGATTCTCGGGCCGGAGCGCGCAACGAAAACCGGGTAAGTTTGAACCGCTGTTAAAGCGGGGTTTAAAAAAAAAAAAAAAAGTGGCCTATATCTACTGCGTGCTAGCAGACTCCAACACCCCTCTGAAAAACGATCTGTGGCGAGTTGCTTTTCAGAGGGTGGTAGAGCAAAAGCTGTCCAGCGTTCAGGAAGCAATACTTCCTTTTTCTATCTTTTTTTTAATCCCGATGGGTATTTTCTATTGCAATACTCCACTGCAACTACGTTTGGCAAGCGGGATGTATAAAAGCATGATCAACCACTATATTATCTTTTAGCTGGGCGATCGGGGGGGTGTTTCGACGCTGGGGACTACAATGTCAAATTCTCATGGTCTGTTCTGTATACAACATATATAAACTATAACCAGTGCTTTTAAAGGGAAATTATATAGAAGATATATATTACAATACTGCCTTAAAAAATGTGCATTTTTGTTTTGTAAATAAAAATAGAGAGGCTTAGTGCCGCAAAACTAACACATGATTGTCACAAGATAATGAAAAATAAAAGTTACCTTCCAGTCTTGGTGGCTAAGGGAGATGACTCCTTGGTACCTAGGTTGATTGTCTTTGTCTACCTGCGACAACTGGTCTTTATCAGTTACAGGTTCTATTGAAGTGTAAAACACACAAGGTTAATAGGTTCAATAAAGCATCAGGAGTCAATAAACAACTTTATGCTCAGTTTGAAGTATATGCCTAAGCAAAAGCAATACTTTTAGGTCAACATTTAATTCCTCAATGTGGAATTTAATATATTGTAGCCCAGTGCTATGTTCCCTTCTATTGCCAACCTCTTACCTGTTAATCCTCCTGATAAGCCTCTTTCTGCATCACTGCAATTGGATGGTAAGAACACTGCAATCTGCAGCAGCGTTGTCACTGTACCCCCATAATGCTTTCCCATAGGACAGCAGGATGAAATAGTTATGGATGCATTTCATTCAATGACACTGGGGGGAATATATCAATGTTGTCGCATCATATGGGTCTTTTAAACTGTTGTATCCCTGGTTCTTAGTGTATATACAGACTGATTTATTATTCTAGTTTACGTTTCATTTTCAAATGCCTTCATAAGGAGAACTGTCTGAAAATTGTTGCGATCTCTAAGCTGTCGCAAGCTTACTGGGAACCATCTGGATGACCGCTGGATAGCCCTGAGGCACTCCGTTGACTTCAGGAAGTGAAGGCGAATTATCTTTGCCACACTTTAAGAAGTGCTCAGGCGCTCTCCTAGGATGTGCGGTAGTTTGGAGGTCTTTTACTGTCGCAAATGCTGGACGCAAATAGCACGCAGTTGAAATATTATGAGAACTGTCAGAAAATGTGCGCAGCGAGTTGCAAACATGAATATGTCGCAAGAACACTTAATAAAAAAAAGAGGTAGAATAGAAATAAAACTCTGCGGTTAGTTAGTATGGCATTTTGGTCTTTGCACCTAAAAATTTTGTCGCAAACATGTTCATAAGTTCTCCCCAATCTCTTTGCAATCTCCTGCAATGCTGGCAGCTATTGTTCAAGCAGGGAGCAGGACACCTCTTCCTGTGACGTGTGCCCATTTGCCGCACAAGTGCCTACCCACCAACCCTGCAGGAAGGGTTGGAAGAGCAGGGGATAAGAAGTCATGCGACTGAATTAAAGCCAACAGAAAAAATAAGTATTTCTCTCTTACATTTTTAGCTTTCTAAGAACTTCACTTACATGTGTACATAACTAATATCTAGGCATATACTTTAAATAGTTATTCCTTGTAGTCCATTATTCTCTTACAACAACTCACACCTTGTTACTGGAAGGGGAACTTAAATAGACGAGTAGCTAAATGTTTGTGTCATGGGCCAGACATTCAAAAGACGGTCCAAACTTTTTTTTTTTTAAGAGCTCAATAATAAGAATGTAATTTTTATGACCCTGAAATACAGGTTAAGGGATACTTAGGCTCCAAAATCATGGCATCTGCCATCCTGTAACATGGTGGCACAGGAAGCTTGTGGATGAGCCCTAGATGGAAACTAAAGCTGGCCATACACCTAGCGCTTTATTTCGTTCAGCCTGGCAGGTATGGTAAATATGCGAACATATTTTTTTAACTTCATTGTTAACACAAGTTTCCTTGCAGAAAGTTATTATACATCAGACAGAAATGCAAAAAATCAGGCAACAAATGTACTGTTCACAAGGATGGTTAACAATACACAATCATGTTTAATCCTTTAGGTTTCACTCTTACCTATCACTGGAAGCTTGTCATCATCAAGCTTTATTCTTGCAAAACCATCCTAAAATGAGATGTTAAGAAATTACATGAGCAGAGAAGAAAATCATGGAAGAGTACGAAAATATAAAGTACACTGTGAACAGAAAGAAACGACATGCTTCACTATAGACAACTTTACCTTTTCTTCTCATGTCCCCACAGTGTGGATAGCAGTGACTCTAAAACTACAGCAGATCACTCAAGCAAGAACAATCCATAAGCATGAAATGTCCCAATTATAATGGCAAGGATTACTGGCAGTGGGCAACACAAAATGTTCCTGTTAGCACACTTCATATACATAGAGCTATGTGCACACCAAAAACACAATAAGGCAATAGAAACGTTCCTTCAAAAACACAATGGGCAACAAGAAATGTTCCCGTTAGCACACTTCATATACATAGAGCTATGTGGACACCAAAAACACAGTGAGGCTCAACCGTCCGTGCCACTCCTCTGGCTTTGCACACCACAGCTGCCAGGTCGGAGTCATGCCAAAATAGCTAAAACCCTGCAACCCTTGGTTCCCTACAGAGAGGACACTAGAAAGGGTTGTGCATACAGTAAGGTTTATGATCTGCAGCATGAATAGGAAACAAACATGTATGAGGGATGTCTGTTCATGCTGCCAGTAAAATATGCTGATATTTCACTCCCTTTAACAGGCCAAGCTGCCCAGCAAAAGTGCCACTTACAGGTGTTGGAACAAATCAGGCCTTTTATCCATATGGTTTAAAATCTTTTATCCAAAAGAAAAGAACATTGCTGCTGTTACGGTTTAAAAAATGTTAAGCTTTATTTGGTTTATCCCCCCATTCTATTTAAAGCTACATGTCCATCTAACAATAGCCTGCCACAGGGCGAAAACACTGCTGTGCAATTTTACTGCAGAACAAACAGTGTTGTCACCCTGTTAACATAAACTAACTAAAACTGCTGTGTTAATGCTAGAGACAGACTGCATCATTTATGCAATATTTGACTTTGCAGTTAGATTTACTTTAATACAAATCAACAGAAAACAGGATCAGCAATTATCTCTATGTGCACATTTATGGAACACTTACCCTGATGATAAAGGAAGCATGAAAGATGTTCTCAACTGTACGAGCAAAAGAATCTGGATCAATAACAAAATCAAAAAAAGATATGGGAGTTTCAGCTATCAAAAGAAAAAAAGAAAATGAAGTTAAATATGAAAAATAAAGAGTTCCAACACAAAAAAAACCCATAAAAACTTAAAAAAAAGTAAAGAGTGTTTTCATGCCAAATTGTAATAACGTTCAACTTCCATACAATAAAAAAGAAACAGAGTATGTATGCAGGTGCCTTCTAGCCAGATCTGCAGTCGGAGTGAATTCCTCCAACAGCCCACACCTTCTCAGTGGATTCAATCTAGGTACAATGTATAAACTTGGGGAAGATACAGGAAAGACACCAGGAAATCACTGCTATGTATCATGATTCAGACCACATGGTCCTGTTAGGAAGTGCGCTTCATTATTTTATATGCTACAGATCTATTAAATAAATCTCCAACCTTGAATTCATCACCTATAATCATCTACACAAGATACTAATCTGCTGGTAGGAAAGAGGCATGAAACCAAAAAAAGCAATTAAGACTTTGTTATAAGTGCCACTGGGCAACATTCATGCGCGCTTTGTTATATGTGCATGCCTCTGGGAAACGTTCATATGAGCTTTGTTATACGTGTGCCGCTCGGCAACGTTCATGTGCGATGTGTTATATGTGCAGCTGGGCAACGTTCATGTGTGCTTTGTTATATGTGCCCCCAGGCAACGTTCATGCGTGCTTTGTCCTATGTGCGGCCAGGCAATGTTCATGCGTGCTTTGTCCTATGTGCGGCCGGGCAACATTCATGTGTCCTCTGTTATATGTGTCACTAGGCAACATTCATGTGTGCTATGAGTTTGTAAAAGGGTATAAATTAATTCTGGGTCACTAACCCATACCAGTCATAAGAATTTTTTATTTCACAGGCAAACTTCTTCAAAGTCAGTGACTAAAAATATTGAGCTGCATACGTATTATGCGTGAGTGAGTTTCAGAGCCATAGAGCAGAATAACAGAAAAATAACCATCATCAGAGGGAGAGGTCAACAGTGGCGGCCCACATAATTCAATCTGCACAGTTGAGCTTTGATACTGTAAAGACTCACGATCATCTTTAAAGTACGACTGTAGATAGCTCAAAATACGCTCTACTTCCTTTTCTGTTGCTTCCTGGTGGGACTCTTCCATTTGTTTCAGCTAAAAATAATACAGATAATCTTAATTTGCTGTCACAGAACAAGAAAACATTCCCTTAAACAATGGACAAAAAAAAAAGGTTTTTACAGACCAGGATTTGGCCAAGATCAAATGCATAACTATATTTGCTCAAATAATTGACAGCGTGGGTATGCTGCAGCAATACTTTGACTACAGACCACTGTACATTGTATGTTCTCGTACAGTGGTTTCGCTTAGTGACAGCTCTAATTTATGGGTTGTATTCAGCAAGCCTTAATGGAGATTGTATGGCGTATTAATACTTGGTTATGAAGTGCGTTTTTCCTATACACAGGTCTTGAACAATCCAGGGTGCCCAAAATTGTTGTGTGTGTGCGTATTTCCAGAATTTCCGTATATGTTCTCATGTTGTTGTCAGTAATGTGATGAGGCCAGAACTCACCAGTACCCCCCCCCCCCCCTCATTAATGTTTTTTCCATTACCCAGGATACC